TTTTTTTTAATTTTCAGGTTCTCCAAAGTACAATAGTTTATTTCATAAAAAGTTTACATCATCAAAAAAAGAGTTTTATGCCTCAAAACTCATAGCATTTATTGGAGAGACTTCTAAAACACATTTTTTATACAGAGTTCAGTTGGGAGGGTGGAGAGTCTTCGATGGTCTTATTATGAAAACGACACAGACACTATTCGATTGTGTGAGAAGCAAATTTATATAACACTTTTAAAAAATAATTTAAATATACATTAACAAATTGGCTGGTACAAATTAATTCGGTTCGTTCTCAAAAAATGAGTCCACCTGCAAATTGTGACCGGTGATGGAAGCGAGTACCTATTACGTCGGCTTCACATCCGTTAAAAACAATTTGTATGTCTCAGTGTGTGTTTTCTGCATAAAAACAACAACATCTCTTCTTGCATCCTCAAAAATTTCTGGGTTTGTGTTAAGGCGGGTTTAGAGGGTCAAACAAAATCGATTTTTTTGAAACTTATCTCATTCGATTAGAAATATATTCAGAAATATTACCACAAAATTTCAGAGTCAAATTGCTAATCGTTCCGCAGCAAAGGCCTCTAAGAGACAATGCGCTCTGGAGACTGATAATCGGGCGCGAGAATTTTGAACGCGATTTTCTCAAAACAGTGTTTTTCTGTTGTAGGCACACGATTAAAAAAGCTGAAATTGTTGCATTTTCATAAGTCATACCTTTTTTTACAGCTAATAGTGTAGAATTCTTTGTGAATTTAAAAAATCACTATAAAAAATTTTTTTATTCACCTTTTTCAATAAATTAACCTAAAATTTCTTCAGAAAAACGCAAAATTTTTTATAAAAAGTTTTAAAATAAATAATTTTATATATTTCTTCGAATATCTTAGGTTCACAAAGAAGAGCAACTCCTAAGCTACAAAAAAGTATTCGCTTTTATGTTTCAGATGAAAACTTCCGTCGCTATCGCGTTCTCAAAATAGACTCTTCGAGCGAGAAGTGCCACTAACAAATGCGAATTTTCATTGCTTAACAGTATCAAATGAAGTGCAAGTAATTTTTTTTTTGCAAGATTTTTGTATTTATGACCTATTTCAAAGGTACTTGAAACATTTCATACGTAAGGCAACCTAAAACACTGTGCCGAATATCATGCATTTTTCAACGTTCTTAACCAGGTTCCCCCTTTAAACAAACTGCCTTTGCGAATTATTTCGATTTTCTATTTCAATTGAAAAAAAATCGCGAAAATTTATCTGCACGAACCGGCAAGTCATGGGAAGAGTCGTTATTTTAGCATAAAACACAGGTAATGTTCTGGCCAACCCAAAGAGTTTGAAGGTGAGAAATTGGTGGCTTTATTGGATTAAGATCCATATCAAAAGTAAACAAAATTCACAGTATCATTGGGAGTGACTAACCAAGTAAATTGTCTTTTTTACAGCAATTGGAATTTATTCAAAAGTAAGGAAAACGAGTACCGTGCGAGTTGAAGCACAGAGATATCAATAGGCGATTTTTCCCAGCAAAACTGCTTCCTGATTGAAAAGTGGATATAAAAGTTGGTTGTACTGCAGTGACTTCAAAAAGATACTTTGGCTGGTAAGGCTAATCTGTTCAGAGAACCATTTCGGGGGTCAAAGGTCATACTCTTTATTTGGAGGCACGAACACATTCGTGATGTATTATGAGCTGCCAAAACCAGGCGAAACCATTAATCCAAATTTTTATCGACGACAAACTAGTGAATTTGAACCAAGCTTTGCTTGAAAACCGACCAGAAAGAACTGAAAGGAAATTTAGCAATAAAACAACACCCAGTGGCTGTAACGGTTAAAAACAGCCCGGCACCGCTGAAATATGAGCTCTTACTCCATCCACCATATTCCTATGACCTTCGCCTTCCAAGCACTGGCTTTTTTGATGGATGCAAAAACGTTTTGGCCGCCACAGGTTCGGATCTTTTGAAGCAGTCAAAGAATGGCTCAATGATCGGAACGAATACAGTGCGGAGATGTAGAAATGGTTAATGAAAATTGCGAGAGAGTTGGAAAAATTTAGTTTCTACCGACACACAATACTTTGGAAAATGTATTTTTAATTTTATTCAATGAAAACCACTTATTTGAATGTAAAAGAACGGAAACCCAGTAATTCAAAATTTATTGCGAGCATAGCTTTAGAACTTTCTAAAAAAAGCGACGTGAAGATCGTCACACATCACATATAATGAGTTATGAGTAACTTTCATATAATTATATAAAAAAAAGTTTTCAATAATAGCAGACGGTATCACTGGCTCGGAAAGAGTATTACCAAACATAAACCAAACATCTTGTGTTTTAGCAGAGAATTTTATGCATAACCTCAAAGCATATGCGCACGCCTATTGCGCATATGTGTATATGAGTATGAATGTGTGTTCTATCAAATTTCAACTATGCACGTCAGCGTTAAAATTATCGTAGAATTTCCTCGAGTTTAATATGCATATGAGTAAAATTTCTTCATAATTTTTTTTTTGTTTTTTTTTTTTTTTTTTTGTTTTTTATTTTTTTATTCTGTATTTGATTTTTACTTCCATGCACAGTGGATTTTGTTGAAATTTCTAATTTTACACATCAACACGCACATTTACATTAATTCACTTAAGCCCAAAAACACATAGTACACACACACACACACACCCTTTGGGCCTTCCCACCATCACCCATTTGCCCTCTCCAATGTGTGTGTGCAATGACTCGGTGTGCATGCTCTGATATTTTGTCTCAAAACATAATCATTGACTTGAAAATGCCAAAAAAAAAATATGGTGGAAAAATAAAACAAACAAAAAACTTGACGACCTTAAAACCGGTAGACAGCGTATTTATAGATAAGTAGAAATCGGGTGATGTAAAAACACTACGTTGTAATACGTTTACCTCGCTGGATATGCACATATGTTTTACATATATATTGTATAAATTTATACATATGTATATGTAGATGCCGTTTTGCGCCACCACCATTTTTGTTGTTGTTTACATTAAAAATCATCTTAAATCAGGCCACGTGTATAAACTTAAGGTGTTCGACGGCAGTGAGGGCAAGCTGATCAGTTAAGCAGTAAACAGGCGTACTGTGTGCCTAGTTGTTGTAGTAGTCTGATATTCATTTTATTTTTTTTTCGTTCAGAGTGTGCGTTTTATTACCACCAACACCCCGGCGTATATCTTCAAGTAGTTAAATTCAGTGAAGCCTTGCACACAGTTCAGCAAAAAAATCAATCTTGACGTTGAGCGCATTTTATACTGCGAAGCCGAAATAATATATTTAATGAAAATAAAGAAAACAATTTTTGTCTCTTTAATATTGTAAGGAAATGCTTCTGTTTTGTCTACCAAGCTGAAAGTCCAGGCGCCCTCCAAAAGTTTTATTGGTTACCGATCTATGTAATAGAGCACTATACCTGCCTTTTAGTAAAGGAAGAAAAAAGGACTTTAATACACCTTCGGAATGATACCTCGGGTCTGGTATTCCGTGCCATGTTGTGTTTTGAACATTTTATCTGACTTTTTTTCAACTTTTTTTTTGTATTTATGTACGCAGCTGTCTTTTGTGTTGACTTACGACATACTTTCATGTTTCGTTCTTGGCAGGAGATATTTTGTCTTGTACTCATCAATAACCAGGCTCATATTCTTCGCTTCTTTATCCAGTTTAGGAAAAGTAGTAATCACTGCGCGTCTATTGAGACCAATAATGTCAGTATCATCAGCGTATTGTTGGATCGCGCTTTTTGTGGATTTGGTAGACCACACTTAGGTTCCAGTTTTCCATCGTCATCGATTTGGTATTCGGGTTCGGCATCACCCAGCAGACCGGAGAAGTTGTTTCATTATAAAAGGTGATCCATTTCGAGTTTTCCTACTATTTAAAAAAAAAAAAAAAAGATTTCATCTTCAAATATTGGTTGCGCGTGGGTCACAGGTGGTCCCACGGTAACTGACGAAAGACATGCGTGATGTTTTGCTCTAAAATCTGAATCTAAATGGCATTTTCGGCAACGATTTTGGATTTTACATATCCTCACAAGAAAAGGTCTTATGGTATGATATCTCACGATCTTGGTTGCCAATCGACCTTACCAAAAAGTGAAATTATCTGCTCACCGAAGTATTCTCTCAATTCAGGCATCAAATGGTCGGTTAACATGACACGATAAGTGACCATTGCCTGTTACTTTTTGACCGGCATAATTTTCAAAAAATTATTGGTCGATGAGTCCATCAGCTTACAAGGCACAAAAAAACTTTGGTTTTTGGATGAAATGGCAGCTCTTGACAATTGTCAGATTGCTTTTCGTGCCGAATGCGGCAATTTTGTTTATTTACACACTCATTGACCCGGAAATAGGCTTCGTCGCTAAGCAAAATTTGGCTCGAAAATATTAGCTCGTTTTTGAACTTTTTAAGAGCCCATGGATGACTGCAGTCCTTGCCTTCAATTTAAGATCTCGACTCGTCAGAATGCTGCTGAGGACGGCGCCGATTCAACTCTAATATTTTTGTGTACAATCCCAGCTGAGGCCGCTTTACTTCCCTCACTGTTTTTGTTTGGCATTCAGGTCACTCTGTAGTTAGTCACTCTGACCAAAACCGTATTGGGTAACGAATGGCGTGTGGTGGCGATGATAAGAATTTTACCGCACCCCAGTAATTTTAAACAAAATCTTTGTATTTTCTTGTAAATTCTCAATTACACAAGTATTTAATTTCATTTTATTTTATCTTATTATTTTGTTATTATTATTATTTTAATATTCAGCCATTTGAGAGCTTCATCAGTTCAAACTATTAAATAAAAAAATTAAAAATATTTAAATATTTACTGAAATACAATAGGATATGTTTGCTATAATAGTTTTTAATTATTTGTAATTAAAACTGTTTCCAAATATTTAAAAAAAATTGTTTGCAATTAAAAATTAAATTTCTGCCATCCTTTTTTTTCAGGTAAATGCGGGACTTCACACTAAGCTTTTATATAAAATATTAGCTACTAGATTTTTAATGGCTTCACACTGAGCTCACGAAAATAGCGGCAATAAAAAGGATATAACTATAAATATGGACTATTAATATGTATGTATATATATATATATATATAAATTAAAAAAAACCAAAAGTTTAGTTGCGTTTACCAAAAATTACATTACTTTTAATTAAATCTCGCTTTTAAGCCAATGCCGCTCGCAGTTTTGGCCATTTCGTGTGGTGGTTGCTAAATGCCATTAAATACGCATACTATCAGCGCTGCTGCCAAATAAAAACACACACACACATTTACAATCACATACTGAATTAACTCCGCCAAGCATTTCCCCGAAGCACACTATAGTCTCGTATGTATGTTTTCATTTTTTTTTTCCTTTTTTGGCACGATAAGGATACTCAACCGACAATTAGTAGTGGCAATAAAGAAAAGTTTGCATAATATTTATTACACACCGTTATGCTTGGCATACACTGAAGAGTAGTTAAATATGAATATATGCGCATTTATATATTTAATATAAGCTTTTTTTCATTTAAATACGTATGTATATACACACGTGTGTGTAGCTGTGCGATGACTACGCGAGCTGAAACGCACTCCATCAACGGCAAATCCCAGCGAGACCAACACAAAGTACTTTTTACGAGCAATTTCAGCTTAAATTTAATGGCTTTTTTATATGCGCATACAGGCGCAAGCACATGCACACATGCACACATACACACATGCGTCATATATGAGTGTATGGGTTGTAAATGCGGTTGAGCATCAGTGACTGTGCTGCTGACATGTCAATTCGTTGGCATGCGCGCCGTGTGCGTCGAGGCGTATGAGTGACATTTAGAACACATTAATGCAGGACGCAAACAAAAATTTTGTTAAAGACTGCCAACGTACACATATTTAAATATATGTAAGCATGCATACGCGCATATATATACATATGTGTGTGTGTGTTGAAAATGTGCGCAGCAACAGTTATTTAGCCCCAATGGAACTTAATTCGCATGCGGCTGTTTGTTGATCATATTTACTGTATCTATTATATCATGAGATGGGTGGAAGTCAGGAGAAAAATAAGGGTACGCAGTTATTCTAAGATCTGTAGGGGTACATTTTTTTGTTTGGCACAGTAGGTACTCACCCTTCTGTTAAAGGGGGGAAAAAATTATTTAAAAAACCCTACGTATTTTTCTTTAATTTATAATTTAATTTGGCCATCAAAAATATTGTTTTCATGAGACTTAGAAATTGCGATTTTTCTAAAAATAGGTATAAAAAGAGATTATTAAATATTTTCCTTTATTGCAATGCCTCAGTATCCCAGTCGTTTATTTGGCTGCCACAGCTAACCTGGCGTTACCGCATTCAGTTCTGTTTGTTCACTCACTATTTCATATTATTATTAATTATGGCTGCAACGGTGGCTTCGATCTCAAGGTTTGAAGTCATAAATAAATCGTTTTTAGGTGCTAAGCGAATCACTAACCTTTAGGAGCTCTCCACAAGGAGAGGTCCACCTGAATTAAATTACCACTGCAAAGCTAACAATTGGTCTAACTATGTGTTTTTCGAACATATAGCGCAAAGGATCAATTGTAAGGCTGGCTGCGTGGCATGTGGCGACATCTTGCTGAAAACACACATCGTTCATGCCATTCTCTTAATACAGTAATGGTCGGTATTAACACTAGCGACAGCTCATGCTTCGTTTTTAAAGAAAATCGAACCCAAAAAGTCAATCGTTGGTTAAACTTCGGCTTAAAAAAAAAAAGTTAATTGTTAATTGTTGCACACCAAATGTGGAACTTTTCCCTGTTGAAGTAATTATGAGCTTAACCAAAATGAAAGAGTTTCAGCTTAAAAATCCCATCTTAGTTAAGTCAAGTTACCAATGACGTGGCTTCCTTTCATGGACCAATTGGACCTTACAGGCCTTCATACTGAGTTGTGCGTTGATGGTTATTCGAACTCTTTTTGAGCCGTAACAGTAGCAAATTTTTCTCTGTTTCCCCAAACCGAATTTTATGCGCAGTTTTCTTGCGGGTCTGTTAAAGACTCATAAATTTCCTTCAAGCATAAACCTAAAAAAAATTCTACACCGCAAACCTTGTACCGAATATTTGACATATAGCGATTATTATTGATGATGCCAAGTCTCAAAAAAAGTTATAGTTCGAAATATAAAAGGTAAATGGTCCACACTTTATAAAGCAATAATTCAATTTTATAATTCAAATATTTAATTTATGATTTTGTATTAATAAATATTTGGAGCCTTCAAAACGCTTAAATAATTTCCAACCAACTACAGCATACACACGAAGTCGTCTCTATAGCTCAGCCCATACTTACGCTAACTCAGAAGCTGATCACAGCGCCATCTATCAGGCGTATCTGAAACTAAAACGCACATTCAAAAGAAAAATATAAATAAATAAATTTATTGATAAATCTTTATATTGTTGACCAAATTGTAAATCTAAAACATTCTCGAACCCCTCTTGAATACACACAAAAATCTCGCCAAAATCGGTGTAGCCGCTTAGAAGGAGTTCAATGATAAACAGATATTTTATCTAAAAAGATTTGGCTAAAACTATTTCGTATAAAAGTACTTCTAAACTAGAGCGTAGAGAGAACGTACAAAATCTGTACAAAAGTCTGTACAAAAGTATGTATCAACTGGAACCGTAGTACACAGATTGGGTAAAAATTGAAGGTATGAAAGAGAGAGGTCTGACTGGGTTCACAGTCGAACTTGAGTGAAGCAGAGGCGGAAGGAGAGATGTCCGTTTATTTTGGTACACTTTTTATTGAACTTTTTTAGGTTGATTCTGAGACATATTTTTTGGCACCACGTAATAAATTGTCATTTAATGTAACCATGCCAGACAATGGCCTATTTAGTTATTGAGTTTCCACGATTTTCGAATATTCCAAAGAAATTCGTTATGTAAGAGTTGGGCATAAATTTGTTCAGATTTAATCCATTTGCAATAGTTCTCGTTCTTATGGGCCAAAGAATATGTGAATCAAGTTTTATCCAAATATCATAATCCTTACGTGAGTTATGGTATACATGTTGGGTAGGACAAGCAGAAGGTCGTAATGACGGATGAACAGACGGACAGACATACATGACTAAATCGATATGAAGTTTGGTATGCTTACTATGCCTATCTCGATTATATATACCTATGTCCAATGTTTTCATCGGTTGTTGACGTGCTCGGACGATTGGGACGAGATTTGTTACTGAAAATTTCTCGGCCTTGCTTCAACCGGTTATAGGACAGTTGAACTTGGGTTCCGCTCACAGTAGACTCGCCAAATAGCACAGTCCACACTACAAATTTCCTTACGCATTTTATTTCATTTTTAACACAACTCTTCCCTAATTTGTTTTTAGTTTTATATTTTAAAATATTTTCCAAAAACAATTTTTTTTTTAAATGTTCTAATGGTGTACTTCATCTAAGTAAAAACTCCAAAACCACCTCTGAATTGAATCAAATAAGCTCAAAATTTATTTCAGCAGAATATTTTTGAAAATTTTTAATTCTTGATATATGGCAACTCTACCAGAAATATGGACACCTTCAAGAACCATTAGTTTTTATCCATATTTGGACATTTGGTTGAGCTAAAATTATTTTTTAAATATTTAAGTCATTTAATTTTATTTCATTACAGATTTTTATACCAAAAGAAATAACGATACAGAAGATAATACTCAAACATAAACACTTTTAATTAATATAATAATTTTTTCATTTCACTTAATGTTTTTTTATTAATTAAATGCAACACATTGCCAACCGCCTTATTGCAAGCAATATGCAACACTTGCCGCTTGCACATCCCAAAAATTGCAACGTAACCCCGCAACGGCATTATTACTTTTACCGCTAACTCATTCACACACACCCACACCACCAACACTCCACCAACGACGCCGCCGCCACTTGGATGGGAAAAAGTAATGCCAAAGGCGCCATAATATATCATCACGCGTGCCTGCCATTGCATGTGGCATACAACAAATTCACTACATGACACCTCGACAGGCACACACACAGATACATGCTGTAGTCTAACGACAAACCGCATACCCTTTAAATCTGCTGAGTGTAGAGCATAACGTGAGCGCAAAGCAGCGCAGAGCAGAGCAACGCAGCGTGACACAAAGCAACCGAAGCATCGAGCCAACAACCCAAAGGCCACATGCAAGTACCCGCGAACCGCAAAACCCTCCAATTGCACTCGCACAAAACACGCGCACGCATACACGCCTTAGTACTGGCGGCTTTGCATGTGAGTATGTGTAGAAATATGTGTGTGTACATCTAAAATTTTATGTTTGAGTGTTAAAGTGACTGTTGGCTCTGCTGAAAACCCGGCAAAAGTGTCACCACGCCGGCCAGATGATAAATTGAATTGTTCCGCTGTTGCTGCCGCTGCCACTACCACAGCCGTCTTACCACAGACACTGTGTCGGTTGGGCATAAAAGGTTTACGGCCATATATAGAGAGTATATACGTATGTAGGTATATATGTAGCGATTGTAGAGACATATTTTTATATTATTACGTGCAAGCTCGGAGTATGTGTCACTTATATTCATACACATGTACGCCTGAAGGTATGTTTGTATGTATTCGTATGATATTGTAGGCATAATTTTTGACACAAGCACGCACGTTGAAATTCAATTTGGCTGTGTATTTGCTTATTCCCAGCACACATATTCTCTCTTCTCTCCTCCTCTCTCTTGCGCACTAAGCGCTTCATTCTTCTTTATTTCTCATATACAATCGTTTTTCACAATTTCCTTCTCAACATTCCACTTACGTGAATACAAAAAGCTGCAAGTTCAGTGTCGGATAAGTTTATAACCAGCAGCGGTCACTGTCCTTGCCGCGAGAGACAAAAGTTACTGACTTAATTTAGAATTGCCAATGGAAAGTTGAAAAAGACAAAATGCTTATCAAACGAAAAATGCGCCAAATCTCTCAGTTTGAACCGCTTTTGCAGTCAAAATTAATTTTATACACTTTTTTTTTGTAGCTCTAAAGTTTTTCT